TACAGAATTTTGAAAAACATCCATAATCACTTCCCAGAATCTATTCCATTGTTTTTTTAAAAAAATGATTGATATGGATTTTATAATTTAATCAGTCTGAACATTCCTAATTATTCTAGAAACCCATAAAAACATTTTAATATACGTATGTATTTTAGTCTATTGCTATTTCCTACCCAATCATGAGAAGTGATTTTTTTTTTCAATCAAACTGAGACCAAAGAATTGAGACTTGCTGATGTCTATATGGTAATAAGTTATTAAGAGCTAACATCAGATAAAAAATTTGATGCTTTAAAAATTAGGTTATCTCATGCCACTCTTTAATTTCTTTTTTCAACATCTGTACTACTGTATGATTAATCTCAGCATCTTCATCTTTTGTTTTATTTCACTGAGAAACACTTTTTCTGATTACCTTGTTTCTAAAAATATTCAACATGAGGTTTATCAGGGTAAGGATTCTGTTAACTGTCTGATATAGGGAAAAAAAACTATCAAAAGGCAAGTAGTAACCTCTCTAGAGAGTTCAGCTAAGGAAACATGCAAATCAATTGCTTAGCTAAATTTTCAGTTTCTCTCTCCTTACCCCCAAGTATACCTTAAAATGCCTTGAATATTAAAAATTCATGCTAAAAAAAAAAAGTTATTCTCAGAAGCATAGACTGTATTAGACAGGTTTAGTTTATAAAATGAAGTAAATTGGCATTCGGTGATGGTTTTGTTTCATGAAAATTTATTGTAGGTGTACACAAACAAGAACAAGTGTATTAGTCCATTTTCACACTGCCATGAAGATACTACCTGAGACTGCATAATTTATAAAGAAAAAGGGCCAATTGACTCTCAGTTCCACATGGCTGGAGAGGCTTCAGGAAACTTACAATCATGGCAGAGGTGAAGGGGAAGCAAGGTACATTGTACATGGCAGCAGAAAGGGAGAGAGCACAGGGGAAACTGCCACTTTTAAAACTGTCAGATCTAGTGAGAACTCCCTCACTATCATTAAGAACAGCATGGAAGAAACCACCACCATGATCCTATCACCTCCCACCAGGTTCCTCCCTTGACATGTGAAGATTACATTTTGAGATAAAATTTGGAGACACAGAGCCAAACTATATCAACAAGTATATGAAGTGTCTTTTACTTCATTAAAATACTGATGAATATTTCAATTTGAGTCAGAACTATGTTTTTTATATAATTGTATAATTTTCTGAGGATCTTTTCGTGAGACTTCATTTAGAGATTTTTCTATTGGTCATGTCTTCTACCACTGTTAGTTATGTCAGCATGATTACAAATTATGAGCTGGATCTGAGGGGTGTAGCCTTGATGATTCAATTTCAATTTTCAAGGAAAATAATCACTGTTAGAGTATCATCATAGGTAATCTGGCAACTAGGCACATTTGTTCTGAGTTAACAAACTTAGACTCTTATGTACATAACCTACAGTTACTTTTACTTAACAGCAGAGTTGAATAGTTAAAACAAATTATCTGGCCCGTGAAGTCTAATAATTTTATTTAATAGTTAAATAAAAATTAAATATTAAAAAATTAAATTGACTAATGGAGAAGGTAAGACATCATTCAGAAGTGCAGGATGAAGATTTAATTTGCT